CACAGGGGCACAGTGACACAGGGGCACAGTGACACAGGGGCACAGTGACACAGGCACAGGAGTACAGTGACACAGGGGCACAGTGACATAGGGGCACAGTGACATAGGGGCACAGTGTGGCAATGATACAGGCACAGGGGTACAGGGGCACAGTGACACAGTGACACAGGGGCACAGTGACACAGGGGCACAGGCACAGGGGCACAGTGACACAGGCACAGTGACACAGTGACAGCAGTACCTCTCACTTCGATGGTGGCGTTGGCCACGGGCGAGCCGGAGAACACGAACACACACAGGTACTCCCCGGACTCCTCTGCTCGGGCCTTCAGGATCCTGCAGCACAGGGCACACAGCACAGCTGGCTCACACCCACTGCAGCAACCCCTCCCACTGGCACCTCAATTAACACCTGGGAATTGCACACTGCACTGTTGGTGTAATATCGGCAGGCCCAGCGCCCCCCTCCCAGCATACACACTCCCCCCAAAAGCTCCTTGGCTTCCTCTTTTATTCATTTTATTTTAATCAAGCAAAAAGCCCCGCAGAAGAAAACAAATCCTGCAATAAAATCATTTAATTACGTGTGGAAACTGCTCAGACACGTGGAAAAAGCTGCTCACTTGACTCTGAGTGCTGACAGCACTTACTCACCCAAGGCTCAAGTTATGAAGTCATTTCATTTCAGATAAGCAACTTTCCAATGGCAGAACAGTCCAATAACCACACTCTGACCCCTGCTGGCTTTAACCCGCTCCAGATGCTCAAAAGTGAGGAAAGGAAGGACAAGGTGGAACTGTGGCCAGCGTGACACTGGGGTCCAGTTACCATCAATCATTCAGGAGCTGCAAAGTGACACAGCTCCGGGTGTGACAGGCAGGCAGGAGCTCCCTCCAGCCAGGAGCAGCCAGCCCGAGGCTGAGGAAGGGTTAGGACAGGTTCATCCCACTGCCAGCAATGGAAGAGGCTGGATTTTTAAGGGAAGCAGTTTAACCTCTGTATCCTGGAGCTTTCTGGATGATAAAAGTACCCAGCTCTGAACTCCCAAACACCAAAACAAAGTGACTGAAAAAAACAGGAACCCAGGAGTTTAAGGGAAATAAACGGAATACAAAAGATGAACCAATATAAAATATAAATAAATGGGGGAAGTAAATACTCTCTGTTAACCACAGCTGTGCTGATGCTGGAATTCCTGCATTTAAAATGTAACCACAGCACAGCTAAAGAACAGATCCAATGCAAAACTAAACAGCAGAGAGAGCCTCAACTCCAGCATCAGCAAAGCAGCCTAGGAATGGTCAGGAATTCAGGATCTACTCTGCAAATGGAAATCTGGGATTTCTGCAGCTGTCCCCTGGGATTGCTGGGATTCCTTGGGGACAAGGGGCACTGTTGTGGCCTCCCACTTCACTCCTTCCTTCCCCAGCAGTAAAAACTGAAGCCAAGCCTAAATCTTCATTTGCAGAGGAATTTGGAAGGAAAAATCCATCCCAGTTTGGAAGAGATGCCAGAGGAGTCAGCTCAGCAGGGCCCTTCCTGGGCAATCGTGTGCAATTCCCAGTAACCCTGAGCACCAGTGCCATGCACTGAACTGCTCCCTAAGGAAGCTCAGGCCCAATGCTGAACACTGCACTGAGGAAGGGACAGGAGGTAATTATGGCAGGAAATGAGCCTCAGTTTTTAATTGCCAAATTAATCAGGTAATTCAAAGCAAGCTAAAGGGGAAAATGAAAGGAAAAATTTGGATAAATCATTATCAGGGTAAAAACCATAATGCTGTGGATGAGAGGCTGTATTGCTAAGGCCCTGAAATCCTGGAACATTCAGAAAATAGTTGGGACCAAGTTGCCAGCAGGGGTTAAAACATCCCTAAAGTGCTCTTCAGTTTGGTTTAAGGTGGAACTGGAAATTGGATTTGCTGTCCATCAAGGGGGAAAATGGGTGGGAAGAAAAAACAGTGCAAGAAAATCACAGAGGGAACAGACCCTGAGGGGATCCCAGCAACTCCAGCCAAGGTCTGTGGGATCATCCCACAGCAATGGGGTGACCAAAGCCTCACCTCAGGAACACCATCCCTCCCCTCCCCAGGGCAGGCCTGGCCCAGCCCACTCCCTATTTCTCATTCCAGCTGGGTTTTGGCCTCCAGGAAGACGTGCAGCAACAGATTCCTCCTTAAGGAGACGGGCAGCACAAACCCCACACACTCCAAAGAAAAGCAAACCACGCTGCTGCGTGTCCAGGTGAACCTGAGAGAGGAGAGCTCTGGGGTTCACCCCCCTGGCTGTGGCAGGCACCCACCTGTACTCGGTGGTGTTGGAGAGTTTCCTGGTGCCCGGGATCTCCTCGCCGTTCTTCACCCAGTAGCTGGCGGCCAGGGGGCTGGGGCTGCTGGTCAGGTTGCACTGCAGCGTGACGGCCACGCCGACCACGTGCAGCACCACGTCCTCGCTGGCGTTGATCCTCGGCTCTGCAAGGCAGGGACAGCCCTCAGCGGCCACACCCCTGGCGACACCGCCCGCTACTCTACATGGCACAGGGGAGCCGAGGGGAGGGCACCACACGGGGAAGGAGGGAATGAGTGAGTGAATGGCACTGCGGGACACAGCGACAAAGCACAAACCGAGCAGCGCGGCCACACCGCGGCGACGCCTCGGGCTCCGCTCCGGGCTGCACTAACAGAACGCTTTAATGGTTTATTGGGAATTCCCAGCACCACACACACATCCAGAGACTCCTGACACACTTTATGTTTGCCACAGCACACGCAGACAAAGTCCTGGGGCTGCACATGTTTCCTCCACAAGCTTCTTGCTGGCTGGAACTTCGTTCTTCTCCTTGAGGTTTCAAACAAAGCCTTTTAAAATATGAACAGCGCTCAAATTCAGGGTTCTCGGTAATGTTATGGATTTGTCCCTGCCCAAAGGCTGCTGTGTCCTTAAGTGCACCCAGGAGATTCCAAATGGCACAATTTCCCTGGTGTCTGGAATTGGAGAAAACCGCTGAGAGCAGCACTCAGAGCCTGACAGTGAAATGTAAGGAAACACAGCAGGGTAAAATCAGAGCTGCAACTGTTTTGTGTCTAACGTAACCCCAAGCACAAACATTCATAAAGAACAAAACCAGCCCCAGTGATGAGCAGAGCTGGGAGTTCTGCACTTTGCTGGCTGCTTTGAGGCTGTTCCACTCCACAGCCTCACCTGGCAACACCAAATTCACATTTTTTAGGGCAAAGCCTTTCAGAAGTGTTAAAATCAATGAGGCCACTGTCCTGCTGTTTGAGAACCACGCTGGCTTCAGCTCCTGCGGGTGCTGCTGCCCTCCAGCACACACAGCTGGCTGATTTTCAGCACAGTCACAGAAGCTGCTTCCCAAACTTGGCCACAAGACCTTGCTGCTGCAGGGCCCGTGCCTCACAGCAGGTGTGAAGCGTTCTGTGAAGAACCACCTCACACAGGATGGCAGGGTTTAAAAATGTCACAATTCTTGCTATTAGTCTTAAAAAAAAAAAACAAACGGATTTTTAGTGTCAGCTCTGCCTGCAGGCCACCCCAGAGCCTGTGTGTGTAAATGCTGCTGTGTGCTCTGCCCGGGATGAATTCCTGACCAAGGAGCAGGGAATTCCAGAGGTGCAGCTCCAGCTGCTCCTTCCTCCCTCCCCTCTGGATGCAGGAGGCAGCAAACATCTCCCTGGTTTCTGCAAGTCATCCAAGGAGTTTGGATTCTGGAAACTCTGCCTTGTGGTAACAAGTTTGGGATATAAATTTATAATCCATGGAGCCTTTGGAATGCAGGTCATGAAACACAATGAGAGACTGGAAAATACCAATTGTGTCAGAACCATCCCAGCTTTCCACACAGGGAAGGAACATCCCTGTATCCCGTGCCATATCCTTACATTATTGCCCAGGGGAAAAAATATGTATCCACTGATAACCTGGAGCATTCCAGGCCTGGATATTCTTTTTGAAAATCCTCCTTCCCCCAGCTCTCTAAGTCATTCTTGTACTGCAGAAACACTGCAGTTGCTGTTTGTATTATCACGTTTTTCACTCTGTTTCTGCCTCATTTCTCCCACACTGGGAATTTTCTCCTTTCAAGGATTGTTTGGGCCCAAAATTGTTGTGCTATTCCTGTATCATGCACCATTCCTGGCCTGCCCCGTGTGCTTTTCCACCCCCAAAGAGCTCATCTGCATTCCCACAAAAACACTGACAGAGCTCTGGGAATATTTTTGGGAGTGTGTCTGAAATAGTAACTCGGTGGCTGACCTGCAACCTTTTCAGTTTTAGTTTAGCAAAACCGAAGCCAGCTGTAAGTCTCATTTCCAGCTTCACCTGCATTTATGTCAACTTGATTTGGCTCTGAAAAAAAGCAAATTGATGGACTGGCCTCCTCATTTAATTCCAGGAGACAAACTGCAGTTGGAATACTGGGACAGCAGCAGCCAAAGCAGGATGCTCACCTAGAAAATCACTTTTTACACATCACTTGAAGTGCCCATTTTATGTAAGCTCAGCTTTTACAGTTAAAACCCAAGCAAAGCAACTAAAAAAAAAACCCCAGTAAGTGAAATTCTGGTTCCAAATCCGGAATGAGGTGGAAGGCAGATGGTGGTTCCTGGGTGCCAGATTTTCAAAAGCAAGTTGATCTCTGCAGAGGCCAGGATGGAGCCTGTGCTCTGTGGGACTTTGGTGTCACAGCAGGGCAGCAGCCACTATCACATCAGCTGGAAATTCCAACTCCACTGAGCCAGACAATTCCCATTTCCAAGACAAACTGTGTTAAGGCACGTAAGGAAACAGCTGAGGCCATCTGGGCAGGCTCCACTTCCAGGGACACCTTGGAAACCTTGTCCTCATTTTCCTTCTCCTCCAGCAGGGTCAGGCAGGTGTTGATGTCCACGAGCTCCTTCTCCCCAGCACAGCAGGGCAAAAACATTCAGGGCTTGGATCCACATCTCCCCAGCACAGCAGAGCCCCAGAGCAGCACAAGGCACTTGGCAGGAAATGGCAGGGGAGGAGAGGCTGAGCTTCAGTCCCTGGAGCAGCTCAGTGCCAGGGGCCTGAGGGAGGAACACCCCCTTTCCATAGGGACACATCTCCCCAGGAGTGCTCCCAAAGGCTGGCTCTGCACACAGCAGGGACACCCCCTTTCCATAGGGACACATCTCCCCAGGAGCTGCTCCCAAAGGCTGGCTCTGCACACAGCAGGGTTTTGTCCCCCAGAGTGGCTCTGCAGGGCTGGCAGGGCTCTCTCCCCAGCACACAGCACTCCCTAGCAGACACATTTCCAGGTTTGTCCCAGGGCAGGATCATTCCCAGCTGCTGCTGGAGGCCATGCAAGCATTGCAGTCCTTTGGGAGCCCAAAGGACACGGGAGGGGCGAGGGCTGGGCTGAGGCTGAGCAGTCCCAGCTCACCCAAACCCTGCAGTCACCCCACACCACCAGGGCCACCACCCATTTTAACACGTGCACCAATGCTGCTTCCATTTCCAGAGGGAAGGTCTCTGATCCAGCAGTGCCAGCAGCAGAACCAGGCTTTGGGGACAGCTCTGGGGGAGGGTTTTTCAAGGTGCCCAAATAAATAATCAAGATACAAATACAGAGTTGATATTTTGTACCCAGTAGGGCGTTAAAGCACAGAGCACAGCAGCAAAATCTCACTTTTGCTCTGCTCTTCTGTCAGCTGAGGACACTGAGAAACCACCCAAAACAAGTTCTCCTGTACCTGCACACTGCAGATTTAATTCCCTGTACCTGTAACTCAGCAGCCATTTCCTTAAGCAAGTGCAAGTTTTACATTTGGCCCAAAATTCTTCTCTACTGAATCTGACCACATGAACTCCCAAATCCACCTGGGGTGAAAAGCAAAGTGAAGGCAGGAAAGCCTTGTCACAACCAAGAACAAAAAGCAACTGTGGGCCAAGCACAGCCTCTGCTCTCAGATCACTCAGTCACTGAGCTCAAGCCTGAGTTCAGCACTGGGGAGGACATCCCCCCTCCTCCCACAGGCTGGATTAGGAATGGCTGCATCTCCTCAGTGCTGCTGCATCAGAGAACTCCTTAGGAACATGCTGCTGGCCAGGAAGGAAAAGAAACACCACGACTTCATGGAAAAATCCAAACACCAAAGGTCACGTGGAACTGAAAGGGAAGGATTTATGTAACCAAAACCAGGTGAGGAGGCATTCCCAGAAATTCCAAGAGAACAGAAGAAATCAAAACAAAACGGTTAGAGTTGGGAAGAACATGAAAATCAAAGAGAAAGGCACTCGTGGAGAAAACCAGGGAGGCTGAAAACCTCCTACAAAACTAAAGGGAGGAGGGAACAAACACAAATCCAAGCTCTAACACACATCCCGAGGTTTTCCCGAGTGCTTTGGTCCTAAGGAGAAGAGACACGGGTGGCACACAGGGTCAGCACTAGAGGCCAGGAGCAGCCCGCGGGTCGGGAGGACAGCACAGGGTGGCAGAGGGTGGGACACGGGGACGGGGTCACCAGACTGCCTCTAGACACTACAGTGCCACTACTGGGGACCAGACTCACTCTGCAGGACGCTTATAGTAGCCTGGGCTCGAATCCACGTAATGGAGGGATTTTGCCTCAAGTCATTCCTCCTGGGATCGTTGCTGGCCCTGCACTCGTAAGTCCCAGAGTCTTCCAAGGTAAGGCGGGTTACTCTCAGCACACTCACCCCATTGGCCCCGTAGGCAGTGTTAATGGTGACACGGCGCTTCCGAGCGCCATCCCACAGCTGTTTGAAAGCCTCAGCCCGGTTGACTTCCGCATACCACCACTGGATCTCTGGAGTGGGGTTCCCAACCACATCACAGTACAGTTCAAAGGCGTCCCCCGTGAGCTTAGTTTCTGACATGGGCGACTTGACAAACCCGGCTGCAGGGAGGGGCAGCAGAAACGCAGTGACAGAGCGGCAGAAAACAACAGAGCTCACACACAACAAAGCAGCGGGGCAGAAAACACAGTTAGAGACATGGCATCGGCTGTGACACGGCTTGGGGACACTCATGGCACTGGCACGGCTTGGGGACACCCATGGCATCGGCTGTGACACGGCTTGGGGACACCCATGGATCGGCTGTGACACAACTGGGGGACACCCATGGCACCGGCTGTGACACAATTTGGGGACACTCACAGCACACAGAAGGGGTGCAGGGCCGGGGCTGCAGGGCAGCAATTCCCACTGTTCCCGCTGCTCCCCCTTTCCCTGGCAGCTGCCCCTGCCCACCCTCAGGCATCTCCAGGCCTTTCTGAGCCCTGGGAAGCTCGGGATGTGCCAGGGTGAAATGTTCCTGCTCAGGGATCTGCTCTCTGAGGGGATTCTTTACCTGACCCACCCACAGGGGCACAAGGGGTAAAATCCCAAACCTGTGCCAGCTGAGAGCTCTGCCCTGAGCTCCTTTCCCAACCATTTAGGACTTCCAGGGCAGGGAGTTCCCCAAGATACAAGTGACCTCTCTTCCTGGAGGAGCTGATCACCCCAGCTCTGGGAAGGAGGGAATTTCAGTGAATGAACACTCAAAGGTTGTTTTGTTGGGAACCCACAGAGGAACCTCAGCAGTCCCCCCTCAATGTGGAGAGGCCACAATATCCAGATTCTGGATATCCTAAATCCTCCCATACTTACCCGCCTCAGCGCCCTGCTGGCAGCACACCCACACTAAATTGTCCTTCAATCCTATTTCAAAAGATATTTAGGAGAATAGCAGTGCCTCGACACCAAGCCCTCCCCCCAGGCCCCTCCTCAAAGTGCAGGATTAGGACACAGCTGGCCAGACAGATTATGCAGCAAAACCCATCCTGGTGCTGTTCCTGGGAGGAACAGTGTCACACCAGGAGGACTGTGCCATCCCTGTCCTCGAATTCCGGGATTATTTCAGGATGAGAGACAAATCAGTGAGGTTTAGAAATGGAAATGTGGACTTGGAGCACCCATTAAAAACAGCATTTAATGCCCTGTTCCCTCACTTGGCCACAGAAAACAAAGAGCTGCACAATGACACGGGAAGGTGGCACTAGGGATGCATCCTAAAGGATCCTTTGGGCAGGAAAAGCCCCCAAGTGTCCCCAAAACACACCAAGTGTCCCTTGCTGGCACAGCCCTGCTGGAAGAGCAGCTGGCATGGAGCTGCAAGGAACTGCTGAAGGAACATTTGAAATTTTAAACAATTACCCTCAAATTCCTTGATTTACAAACTCATGGGATCAGGGACTCCCCAGCACAGAGGGGCTCAGCACCAAGAAACCCCCAGCAAATCCTGCAGGGCTGCAGGGGCAGGAAACCCCGGCTAGAGCAGCCACAATGGCCACAGCCCCTAATGGCCACAGCCCCCAGAGACCAATGGCCACAGCCCCTAATGGCCACAGCCCCCAGGGACCAATGGCCACAGCCACAGACCCCAATAACGAACAGCTCCCAGTGACCAGCACTCCCTGACCCCAATGAATGAGCTGCACTCCCTGACCCCAGTAAATGAACAGCACTCCCTGACCCCAATGAATGGCCAGCACTCCCTGGGATGATAAACAGCCTCCATGTATAAATTAACAAATATTTCAATTACCAAGGGCAGCTCTGGGTTAATACTTTGCATTTGTAGCCATTCACAAAAAGCAGCAGTGAGCGAGGTGATGCTGCCACAGGGCCACCGCCCGTGGTGACACCCAGCCAGGAGCTGCACAAGGGATCTGCCAGCACTGAGCAGGAAAGGAAGGCTTAAAAAACACCAAAAAAATGGGGGAAAAGGTGAATTATTCCAGAGGCTGCAGCACAAGGGAGCTGGGAAGAGAAGTGCTGCTGCCTCAGGGCCCTGCCCAGATTCCCAAATTCCCACATTCCATGGCTGTCCCAGCACGGAGTGGGTGACACTGGGCAGATCCCCCTTAGGCAGGAGACACCAGAGCCCGGCCTTGCCTTTCTTGGGCTTGTCCTGCACAGCTCACCCGGCTCAGCTCCTGCTCCTGAGACAGCAGCACCCAGCACAATACCCACAGCCAGAGACACAGCCAGAGCCCAGGGCTGGCCCCAGGGACCGTGCTCTGCTTAACCTTAAAGATTTGGGACCGTGTTTGGTATAACCCCAAAGATTTGGGACCGTGCTCGGTTTAAACACAAAGATTTAGGACCGTGCTCTGTTAAACCCCAAAGATCGGGGATTGTGTTCTGTTTAACCTCAAAGATTTGGGACCATGCACGATTTAACCCCAAAGATTTGGGACCATGCACGATTTAACCCCAAAGATTTGGGACCATGCTCAGTTCAACCCCAAAGACTGGAGACTGTGCTCGGTTTAACCCCAAAGATTTGGGACTGTGTTCTGTTTGAACCCAAAGATTTGTGACTGTGCTCTGTTAAACCCCAGAGATTTGGGACCGTGTTTGGTATAACCACAAAGATTTGGGACCGTGCTCGGTTTAAACACAAAGATTTAGGACAGTGCTCAGTTTAACCCCAGAGATTTGGGACAGTGCTCTGTTAAACCCCAAAGATTTGGGACTAATCTGAAATCCCTTCTGGAAGTGGTTTATTTATTCAAGATTTGATCTCATGCACCAATTTTGTGTGGATGGAGTGGAGGAAAGATAAATGCCCTAAAAGCAGGAAAATGTTTCAGTCTGCACACAGAACTCCACTGGAATTCCAAGGGCTCCTCACATTCCCAAACTTTTCGTTAAAATTTGTGCTGGGGAAAGAAAATTAAATCCCCACTGAGAAAAAACAGGATTTTCAGAGCTCAGAAATTCTCATAAAATCTGCCAGGGTAAGAATACACAAGGCAGTGCCTGGCAGTTGTCCCTGAACTGCAGAAATTATTGTGCCATTGATTAAAATATCCTTTTGGAACTCAAATTTCATCAAGGTTTAAGCAAGGCAAAAGAATTCAGGAAAATGGCCCTAGAGGAGCACAGCAGGGAGAATTTTCATCTCCCCAGGTTAAGTCTGATGTAAAAAAAGGGGTTTAAAAATAAAAGTGTTGTGCATTAAAACCCAAGTCGAGGAAAGATGTTAAGCCAGGCTCAAAGAGAATAAAAACCAGGTTTAAAACGCACAAAGAATGGACAAATTAGGACCAAAATGAGGGGAAAACAAAGGATTTCCAAGGAAGTTTTCAACCCCAACCAACACAACTGTAACCAAGGAATCCCCAAAAAGCAGGCTGAGGCTGCTGCTCGACATGAATCTCACTTAAATCAAAGCAAAAAGCACGGTTCAAAGCTCAGAACTGAGAATTTACAAGGCTAGAGTGCAAAAATAAACCTGATTTTCAGTCTGGAGCCACAATAAATAAAAGTGTAAGTGCTGTAGGACTGAATGATTTTGAGCTTGGCTGTCTTTACAGCAAAAACGCACCTGGAAAACCTTTCAGCACATCAAAAATTTGCATTTCACTGCTCTCAGGAAAGATCTGGAGCAGATTTTATATTTTTATATTTTACAGCATAATATCCAAATTATGCAGCCTGTTTTCTTAAATTCTACAAACAACAATGCAGATGGAAAAGGCAAGGCCCACCAAGAACTGCTCAGCTTTGCTGTGCTCTCACCTGAGCTGATTTTTGCTTTATTCCCACATTGAAAATTTGATGGGAATAGCCCAAAAAACGCCAGGCAGGAACTGCCCCCCTCAGCTAGGCTGTGTTAATGAGGTGCCTTGGCTAATTAACACCTTTTTCTTCTCTTGATTAAGCAACAAGAGTTCTGAGGGTGGGGAAATCTCACTGTCAGAGTGTTGTATTTTGACTCCATTTGGGCTGGAAAAAGGAATTAATCCTGGTTAATGTTTTGTTCCTTGCTAATGCTCACATCCACTGAAAATCTTGGAAATCAGTTAAATACACAAAAAGTGACAGCTGGGAAAGGTGAAACACCTCAATTCCAGGAAGGCACTGAAGCATCCTGCCTATTCCCACCCATTTTCCACAGGATCGCTGCTTTGCCATTCTGTCATCACCAGGAAGCACAAAATTAGAAAATTGCCGTTAATCCCATTAATTTTTGCCAGCTGCACAACAGCTTTAAGCCAGGCCTGAGGTGAGCTCAGAGCAATCCCTGGATTTAATTCCTGCACTCTCATCCTGCAGCTTCCCAGAGCAGGGAGGAGAGGTGAACACATCCCTGAGAGCATCATTTAAAATGCATGAGCTGTGCCAGGGCAGGAGCCTCATTCCACAGGCTGGGAAACCTGAGGATCCCTCCCTGCCAGGCCACAGGAGGGACTGAACATTCCCTGGATGCAGCTCAGCATCCCTCATTTCCCTGCACATCCCAAAGCCTCGGCCTGCAGGAGATTTAGGGGCAAATTAATTTCTGTGTTTCTGCTGTGGGGAATTGGGAGCATCCCGAGGGGAATGATTTCGGTGAGGACATCCAGGGAATGTGCCCAGGGACAATTCCTGGCATACACGGATCAGTTCCTGGGGATAAATCAGGAATTCAGGATGGAAAGGATTCCTAAATAGAACCAGGACACAGGGATCAGTTTGTGGGCATAAATCAGGAATTCAGGCTGGAAAGGATTCCTGAATAGAGCCAGGACAAAGGGATCAGTTCCCGGACATAAATCAGGGAATTCAGGATGGAAAGGATTCCTCAATAGAGCCAGGACACAGGGATCAGTTCCTGGGGATAAATCAGGGAATTCAGGCTGGAAATCATTCCTGAAGGTTCTCTGGCCCCACAAACGCCTCAGAGAAGCCTGAGACCCTCCCACAAATCCAATTTCCCTGGAATAAAAAAAGCATGCTTGCCCTCACACTTCTGAAGCAGAACTGGTATTTTATGGCCACTTTTATGGGGTAAAACCTGATCTCAGCAGCCCCAATTCCTCGAGGAAGCACAGGCCCATGGAAACATCCCTGGAAGGAGAAGTCCCTGGTGTGGCAGAGCAAGCACAGCCACGCTTCCCCCAATTCCAGGGAATTTTTTCCCCCTCCTGGCTGGGTTCAGAACACACAATTCCTGGGATTGTAGGTGCCAATCCTCCTGCTGCTACCACCTGGAGGGTGCA